AAAAAAAAAAGACGCAAATTCCACAGGAGCCCCCTCACAGCAGCTACAACCACCACCAAGGCAAGAGCGAAAAGCAAGAAAACCCCGGAAACAGCACAAACAACAGAAGAAAGTGGCGTGTGTGTATGTAAGTGTAAGTCTGTGTGGGCGTGCTGCACACAAACAACAACAAAAAAGAAGCACACACGAAAACAAACACACACCCATACACACGAATAGATCACAGCGGCTATTCTCCCAACCGAACTTCCCTCTCGCGTAAATATCTAACTTACATCAACTTATCTGTTTTCCCTTTTTCCTTCGGCGCTGACTACTGGTGCCTGGTCGCGAGCTGCCCCTCGACGACGGTGAAACAGGCGGAGGCATGCCCATGACGTTATTGTCATTCTGCGTGTAGTACTGCTGCCGCTGAATGAGCTCCATTGAACGAGATGTGCTGTTGGTGCGGTTATGTATGGGGCTCAACGCGAGAGAGGGCGGAATAGCCCCTTCCACCGTGGATTGATTGATCGGCTGCAGCTTGTGTCTGCGGTCATGCTGCTTGATGGCGTTGTCGATGCTGCCGCTAAGGGCTCCCACAACAATTCCACGCGCCGCTGCTGCCTCTCGCGGCACACATCGCGCAAGACCCTTCACAGCGCACTCGGAGCATATTGCACTGTCACTCATGACCTGAAAGTAAGCGTCAACGATGTCGTTGCGGCCACATAACTTGCAACGGATGCACTGGGGGTGAAAAAAGAGTTTTCCTGCTGGAACACGTGCAATGGGATCAACAGGGGCGCCACACTGTGCACATGCTACATTTATGTTTTCCACCACGTGGACAGGCCCCATGTAGTTGGGTGAGACACCGTTGCGCAGGCGAAACGCCATGCTTTCCTCTTTCGTTGTCATGTTGTTGGCGTTATAAAGCGGCGTGAGTGTACCGGTTGGGATGGCACGCCGCTGCGTGGTGGAGCGCGGACGCTGGGCGACAGGTAAACGGCTTTGCGGCGCCAGCTTCGGCGGATCAATGTTAAGGGCCGAAGATGATTTTCGCCTTGTCATCAACGAGGGTGGCGCCCCTTTCTTCGGTTCTGAACCTCTTTCCTTTATCGGTGTCATCGTTGCATTCGTTGGCGATGGTGGTAGTGATGTTTTTGGTGGCGGCAGTGTTGTCGACATTTGCATCGGACGCTCGGTGATGCTGACATTTTCTTCTAGGCCTTCCCTCGTGGCGACGCTTTCGGCGCGGCTGTATGGACCTGAGCCTGCGTTACGCAGCGGGCCCACCTGTGTGCTGTCATCTCCCTCCGTGCTCTCAGCACCCTGCTGGTATCCTGACGGCGAGTCCTCCTCGCCCTCCAGCTGCGCTGGCGCAGTGGCGGCCTCCCCGGCAGCTGCGTCGCCGCCACCATCCTCGTGCACGGCCTCCTCCAACGGCTGTGGTGCGGCGTCTGCCGGGGCCTCGGCTAGCAGCGGCGCGTCTTCGTTGTTGGCATTGTCGGACATCACCTTGGCGACAACACTCTACCGGTTAACGCTGGATATATATTTTTTGTGTGTAGATATCTATTCTCTTTGACTCGCTTCCACCGTTTAAAGACGTAGCCTGCGTTATCAATCCCTTTTGCTCTTTTCTTCTGCCTGTGTGCCGTGCTACAGATTGCAGGCTTGAGAGACACTATTCTAGCGTAGTGGAAAGCAAAAAAAAAAGCGGATTTGGTGCAAATCAGATTAAACTGCATGACAAACAGACAACCATGCTGCGTCTTACAGAATACGCATGATTATAGTTTGATTTTTTTTTTTGCTTCTTTCTCGTCATGAATAATTCTCTTATGTACATCGAAACCACGCGTCCTGGGGACACACACAAGGGAAGTGGAGGAGATCTTGTACCAACTGCACTCGGTTGTCGCTTTCCTTCTCCCGGAATTGCCGCCACCGATCTTCCTACCATTGTTGTTGCACTCCCTTGGACAAACAACCTTCTCCCCTTCTTTCTTCCTTGCTATTTCTTTGATCTTGATGCTGTATGGTTCCCCGTCCACACACACACACACACACACACACACACACACTTTACCTTCTAACATCTTGAATAACAGTAATCATCATCCTTATTCTTTGTCCTGCCNAACCTTCTCCCCTTCTTTCTTCCTTGCTATTTCTTTGATCTTGATGCTGTATGGTTCCCCGTCCACACACACACACACACACACACACTTTACCTTCTAACATCTTGAATAACAGTAATCATCATCCTTATTCTTTGTCCTGCCGCTCTATGAGATCGCTTTGCGTATAGCTTCTTCCAGTTCATTCTCCTGCTCATCCACAGTCATGTGCATGGTGGTGTAGCACGGTGCGAGGAGGCGGAAGACCGTCACATCGCCCTTCTCGTCACCAACTACCACTACCGCCGCCTCCTGCTCGGCGAAGAGCACATTCGCCAGCCGTCGTTGGTCCAAGTACTGTACGCGCGAGCGGGGGTGAATGGCGTCAGTGATAGACCACACCTCCACGTTGCCTTGGGCCGTCACGGTGGCGAAGGTAGTGGAGTTCGTGTAGGACCACGCCACATCCTGCACAGCGTTCTGGTTGGGGCTGTCAAAAGTGAGCAGCTGTGCCGACTGCCCGAGGCGGTACAGACGCGAGCTCCAGTCGGCAGAACATGTAAGGAAGTAGTTGTCACTGTACGGCGACCACCTCACACGGTAGACAAGCTCCGAGTGTGGTGCATAATCTAACTCGTAATTCTCCGTTTGACTCTTGTTGCACTGATGTAGTGACCCGTCTTCAGTACCGACCACGTAAATGGTGCCATCTGCCGGTGAGACGTCAAGGCACATGCCTCCACATTGTCGCGAGAAGAGTGCGTCACGCTTGCGCCGCTGTCCACTGGCACCACCACTGCGCTTCCCACCGTCATCGGCGAAGGCCGACTCGCCCGCGGCGCCGTGCTGCCGCTTAAGCGTCATTAGGTCAGGCGCCACACGCTCAATAGTTTTACCGACTGACCACTGCACGACACGACCGTCGCCAGAAATGGATATTAGGAACTCGCCACGCTCCTTCCCGCGCGCCACCCATTTGAGCTCCCACACCGCCCCGGTGTGCTGCCCACTTGTCAGAGTCGTCTTGATGGCCGGTGTGTTCGTCTCCTTCTGGATGTCGTAGATGACAATACTGCCGTCCGTGTCGCCAACAGCAAGGAGGCTTGGGTGCTCGTATGAGAAGGCCACCGACGACACACCCGCTTCCACAGGGAGCTGAATGACGCGCTCCGGCGCCAGCGGATTCTTCAGCGACCAGCAGCACACAATGCCGCCTGTGGAAGATTTGGGTGCTTCTGCAACTTGTGCGCTATCACTGCGGAGAGCGCTGTAACCAACCGCAAGGATGTCCGTTTCTTTACAGTTCCATGCCATGCACGTGACTGCACGGTTTTTAGTGAGCGGTGAACGGAATGTCCACAATCCCTTGATGTCCTCTGACAACTTCAGTGGGGGTAGGTCTGCCTTGACGACGGCTGCTACAACGGCCGCAACCTCCAGGCCGTCCTGCACTGCCTCCGTTACCACCGGTACTGTACCTGTTGAAGCGTCTATGTCCTCGGTGCTGCCCATTTGTTTTTTCTCGGGTGGCTGCGGAACACGGCGTGCGTTGGGGTCCATCGTGATGCCCCTATACGACAGCTGCACCTCCTCCATTGTGTTCTGTACCACTGCCCGCTCCATCACACGCAGGGTTGATAGCAACGAATCAGCGAACATCCAAGAAAATGCCGAGTGTGCAGCGCTGCGGCTGCTCTGCTCTGCAGTTGTCTCAGAGATCATGTCCTTTTCCGCGGCTGAGGCTGTTTCCACAATCTCGTCATCCTCCTCGTCGCCAACCTCCTCCTGGTCGAGTTCCTCCGCCTGGTCCGCGGCGAGGACAGCGAACTGGTCGCGGAGCATCCACGGTGTCACCTGAAGCGCGCCCGCATTCTTTTTGCGCGGCGGGCGAATCGCACAGTGGATAGACTTCTTTGGCGCCACAAACGTCCACGAGCCCTTCTCGTGAAATCGCGTTCCCTCATCCACACGCTTCGCTTCTACCAGCTCCGCGTAGGCCGCATTCCGCTCCTGCACCTTTGCCACATCTTCTTTGCGCTCATTGGGCACAATCTCGTCCTGGTGCGTGTAGAGCATGATGGTCGGGGTCTCGGCGAGTACGACAGACGTTTTGGCGTCGAGCCACTGGCGCCGCTCCTCGCGTGTGTACACGCGCGGCTTCGCAGCAGCGGCACTGCCGTCACTTACCCCCAGCAATGAACCCGTACGCGGCGCGCCCTGCATGGGGGCGAAGCTGGACCCCATCGACACGCCCGAGCCGCGCCTGTCAACAGAAACGCTGGTGAGCGACGACGAGGCGGTGAGGAAGCCTATCTGCGACGGGCTGCCGGGGGACATGTTTGACGCAAGGCCAATCTGGTCGAGCGAGCTGTTGAGAATCGATGAGTGAAAGAGGGAGCTGCTCTCCACTGGCAGCATCCCGCTGATGGAGCTCCCGCCCTGGCGGCTGTCGCGCGGCACGCCATTGCTGCTGCCTCGCTTCTGCAGCGGCACCGGCGTGCGATCGACGCCGTTGTCGAGTACATGGATGGTCGCCTCGATGTCTTGACGCAATTCGGGTGAGCGACGACGCGCCTCGCCCTTTGTTCGGCGTGAGCGGGAGCTGCGGTGTATGCTCGCACTGCTCTGGCCCGCCTTGGACTGCAGCGTCGAGGAATGCACCGGCCCTTTGGACGCCGCGTCACTCGAACTCTGCTTGTTCATGAACAATAGCAACTTATTTCTACACCTTGGCCTTGTGCCTGTTTTTTTCCGTCCCCTTTGTTAATACTTATTCTCGTTACTGCTTTTCTATCACAGCAGCGCCGATGTGAGCGTGTAGCTGCAGCACAGACAGACAAAGGAGGCGTCCATAGATAGAAAGGGCGATGTATGGATCAAATACAAATAGAGGAACCATTTATTGAAAGATATATAGGAAAAGGAGAGAGCGAGAGAGAGTGTGTATATATATATATATATATAAGTGGACCCCCGTAGGGCTGCATATGCCGCACATCACGCATAGATACACAAATGGAAGCACACACAAACACACACTTACACCGACAGGCAGAGGCTGGCGCTCACCCTGACGTTGCTACAGGTCGCCCTCCGCAAAATCCCGAACGGGGTTGACGTTGAACGGGTGCTGCCCGGGCTCCGCCAAGGAGGAGACGTCCGCAAACTGCACAGGAACAGGGAATGCGTCAAAGGAGAACTTGCCCGATTCCCCAAGAAACAACTCGTGTGCGTAACCACCGTTGCTGCCGCCTGCCTTGTGCGCCTTGCGCCCCACCGCAACACCCGCGGAGTTGACGATGCTGTCGATGCTCTGAACGCCGCCGCGCCGTGTGGCGACGCAGCGAGTAATCTCCGCCTCAAGCAGCTTACGCACAGCCTTGGCGGAGTAACTCGTCAGCTCGTCGCGCTTCGTACACGCCACGAGGACGCGCTGCACACCGTAGAACTCTGGCGATGTAACAACGGACACGACGAGCTCAGCAAGTGCCTGCGCACCCTCGTGGCGGTCATCCTGTATAGTCACAGCATCAACGACAAACACGACATCCCTTGCATTCTCCAGCGCGGGGGCGAGCGACTCACGCAGTCGCCGGTGCCCCGGAAAATCCACGACCACAATGTTGGAATTTGCCGCAGCAACAGATGGTGAATATGCCGAACTGTCATCAACGCCGCTGCCTTCTGCTAAACGCTCTGCCATGGCAGCACGGTTGGGCTGCATACTTGTTCGAGCGGAGATCCGCTTATTCGCCACCAGTTGCGCGAATAGCGTCGTCTTGCCACTGCCACACAAGCCCAGGAGCAGAAGCGTGTGGCGGTGGCGTCCAGAGATGCCAGTAACGCTCCACAAGCGCTGAGCAATGAAGCGACCAAAGATGAGGGCAATAAAGAGAGTCACCAGAAAAATAAACACGTTTGTATTGCTGCTACTGCTATCGATGCTCACATTGCCAGTGCTGCTCTCATTTCCAGGAGTCGCCGCACCCTCACCCAGCATAGGCACCCTTCTGATTCGATTGCACACTCACCTAACTCTCACAATTGCGTGCCTCACCTTTCTATTTAATTTAAACCTTAAAAAGAACGTTAACGGAGACAAAACAAATATGCCGTCGAGCTTCATACGCATTCGTGCCCCACCCTTCACACAAAACGATTACATAAGCCAAAAAAAGGTGTCACGTGTCCGCTTAGTTCTTAAGAAATCTGTTTACGCCCGGCGCAATTTAGATTCCGAGACAAAAAAAATCAACGCATGCTTTATTTACGAAGTGAATCAATTACGGGCGACGCACACACCCGAGGAGAGATCAAAGCGCACAGAAAACGAAAACAAAGAGAGGCGAGAGCGACACGCCCCGCGGCCGGGCAGCCGCACGCTGTTAGTGTATACGCATAATTATATAAAACCACAGGTATGTGTGTATCGGTGTCTCTTAGTGGGTGCCGGCACATTCCAGTGCATGCACCGTCACCGTCGGTGGGCGGGCAAAGGGCAAGACGGCGCAACCCGCGAGCGCAC